TTACTTTATTTTTTATAATTATAGAAAATACAAGGTTTTTTGTTTGTAATTAATATTGTCCTTACCTTCCTAAGAAAAACTAAAAATATTTATATTACCACACATACTAGGTACAGGCATTTTTTCAACATGCCTTGTTTGAGGTGCCATTTTTCTTATAAGGTATTTGTGACTTCTTCTTGGTAATGTCAGTTATTTTTGATCATTTGAGATCAAATGCTGCTGTTTTCAATGGGAATAAATCTGGTGCTAGAACAGCTAGCAACAAATAACAATTTGCAAATTTTTAGGAAAACCAATATAAGAGCAATTTTTTTAAAATTGTTTTCTTCCTTAATTTTACTATACCACTTGTTAGTAGAACCCTAGGTGGAATCATTTTTATTACTTCAAAAAAAAATGTATTTTCCAATGCCATTTTATTAAAAAAGTCACTAGTTTCTGATGGACGACCCTCTCGAATAAAAAACAGCAAGCTGTTTATAGGTTTCAACGCATTATCTTTCTTTATCTCTTCTAATATATAGAAGAAGGATGTGTAATCGCTTTCTGTACTAACTTCTTGTTTTTTTACGACTAGTAAGATAATAATCAATATGTAGGTATGTATAGGGTGTGTCAGAAGTGGCGAAAAATTTTCAAGTATGATAAGATACCAGAAGCATGGAAAATATGTTGAAAAAATTTTATCTGTTCTCAAAATTTTGACATTTAACATTTTCCTATGTCAATTAAATGATACTGATGATCTTGTATACATGTTTTTTTTATAAAGGTACAAAAATTTTGCCAATAAAAACCACAAATAACATTAAACAATTTAGAATGCAGCTTCTAATAGCCTGTAGCAAAAAACTTAGAAAATGATTTTTAAAATAGAACTAAATAGAGTCAAAGTGCAAAATTTAAACTCTCATAACTTCAAAATTTTTATAGATATAATTTTTTAAATATACTACTCCAAAAAATTAAAGGAACAAAAAATTAAAGGAACAAAACAACGCAGTAACTTCCTTTTTTTCTTTTCTTTAAATTAATGTTAAAGGTGAACAAAAAATTATTTTCTAAAAAATCATAAAAGGATCTTATGAGACATTTATTCCAGTTTTTGAGACTACCCTTATATTCTCTGTGTGGTCATTGGTCGCTGAGATATCCAAGACCAAAAACAAGAGGATCCTTTTTCATTTAAAGTCAGATATCTCAGCGAAAAATTGACGTAAAGAGAATATGAAGAAAGCATATTAAGGATAAACAAACATGCTATTTGCCTAGGTATTGACTTAACTAAAAAAAAATTCTCCACGTCCGTGAACCAAAAACAAAAACATAAAAATTTAGAATTGTTCTTCTCGCGCTATTACTTAGAATTGCGTAATAAGCGTGGCACAAAAAAAATATTTCCCTAAAGATCACAAAACTAGAATCTTAAAGCTTCAAAATGTTTTTAAAAAATCGCCAAAAAATTTAGGAAAATTTTTTGTTCCTTTAATTTTTTGGAGTAGTTAATTTTTTCCATCTTCCTGGTATCTTACCTTACATGGCATTTTTCTCTTAGGCGCGAATTGAAAACAATTTTTATGACACTCCACAGGTTGCTGAACAGGTAATTTGCACATATCAATATAAAAAAAAACTGATACTGTTTGTTATTTTCATATTTTATAAACATTTCCACCCTATGTAACATCGCCCGTATTATGCCTCAATACCACCTTGCTTGTTTGTTTCATTGAATGCTCGAAATAAAAACAAACGCTGGCCTATCCCATTGTAAGTATTTAATGCGACAAGGGTGGTCGTGGGTTATCTGACTCGCCCGTAACTGGGGTGGGCCATGTGCGGGTCTCGTGCCAAGACCGCAAGTAATTGCCTGTGGTGGTGATAATTGACATATTGACTACGTCAATGACAAGTGCCTTTCGATGAGGGGAGCACATTCTTTATATCTCGATGGCGTTTTATCAACACGAGCACATGTTAACAGTAGCATTCTGGGGGCACATTGATTTTTTGCTACTGAATAATTACAGATTTCGTAATTACAGCGCACAGGATGTATGGAGCAATGTATATTATTGATATGATAATTAAAAATGCCGGCCTTCACTGACACGCTCGTTAATAATTCAACGGCCTGACACAAAAATAAACTGGGACATGAAGCGAATTACAAAAGTCAGTTGCACATATGCGATTTAAATGCTGGCGAGTTTGAAAATGAGCTGGTTTTAAGATGAAAGTATCTAGGTAATACGTCTAGATTTCCCATTGAAACAATTCGTGTTCTTAAAATAACACACCAAATCGATAAAATAAATAAAGTAACTAAATCTGAAATATTAAATGCTTTCCTATTTTTTGAAGGAATCGATTTCGTAGGGGATAAATCTGAATGTTAGCGCGTTTTTTAAATCAGTTTACATAAGGGTCTTGCACCCCTCCATGTAATTTATCTTTGACTTTTATTTGATTACATCACGAACCAATTGCAGGATTTGAAATTTTGATACGTACTGAAAGAAAAACTCCTGAATTATTAGTATATGTTGAAAATTTGAAACGTCATTGGAAGATTAATTAATGCAGAAATTGCGCTTATTGCTTCCGACTTGGTCATGCGGAAACTGCGGGTTTTAATTTATGACTGAGCATCACTCGAATTAACAGGTGACTGTTTTTCTCAATAAATTTTTGTCTGAATTCAAGTCGTCGAGTGTTAAATTACACCTTTGGAGTGATGGTTGATTACTGAAGAGCCGTCATAGTTAACAACGCCGGTAATTTTCGATTTGTGCATGCAGTCAGCAATTTCAATTTTATGCAGCATTGCAGCTCGACTAAAGTGATGCATAGAGTTCTCTCGCATCCACATTTTTTGTGCCATGGGAGTCATTTTATTAATTTAACGTGTATGCAATTTGTGTAAAAATTTTCTTAGTGCTTTACGTTGCATGATAAATAATAATTCTTCTCGTTATTAGTGGTAACATTCTGAAAATTGACGACGCCTCACAATTATAGAACACGAATGTTGCCAACTCCGTCCGGAAACACTTAGTCCATTACATGTCCACCTACCCATATTTTGTATAAAAATCGAAATGTTGGGTATTTTCTCTTGCTGATATATTGATGATTAGGTAAATGATTAGGTAAAATTATACGGACATAAGAATTATAACACCTTTAAAATATCACGTTTTTCTGATAATTTTATCTCAGCTCCAACAAGAAATTTAAATTGCTTGGAAAGAATTACTTAAAGACGAAATTGGTAATCTTTTATTAAGTTAGGTACAGTGTGACTGAATTGCAAAGAAAACAATACAAAGCGATCAAAAAGTCCTTCTAGTTGAGGACGTATATGTTGCTTGCAGTTCGTGTGTTTTATGAAAACTAAACTAACGGTTATTTTTTTTAAATTGGCGTCAAAGCTATCCACGAAGTTATTAATCGGACATTTGACACCTAGCCAGGCGTATTAAAAATTGTGGTTCGTTCACAACACACTCATATCACCGCCGACTGTGACACCAAATTTAAATAACCACCCGTGACTGACCTAAGCATTCAAAACATTCTTAAACTACATAGATACTTTTGGTGTTTACCCATACAAATCTGTCGCATGTTCGAATCTATTGGACATTTCGCAGTTATCATTATGACGTTTTATTTTACGTTTTAAATTTTCTATGCTCTAGCTATTTTTATTTCTATGCTAGCTTTTGATCTCATTGTATTTGTCACATGAATCTTGTAATATATCGTTTTATGTGCGTTATTACGTATGATCGTCGTTTTATTACCTTGTTTTGTATTATGGTTTTATTTTTGCCGGCATTATATTATTTCTATAAAATTTTATGAGTTATTGTAGGTATACGTATACCTACAGGGTGTTACCTATGAAAATTGAAGAAATTCAAGGAATTACTTTTTCAATCAAGAGTGTTAAAGTTAAACTGTAGGTATTTTCTTTTTAATTGTTTACATTTCCAACAAGTTACACTTTTTATTAGAATGTGACCAATGAAAAGAAAAAAAATCGAATTAAGTAACAATAGGTAAGTATAAATTTTGACAATTTTGATTAAAAAAGTTGAAAGTTTGCTTTATCATTTTCAAACATCTCTTTATAAACCAGGTGCAGATTCGCTTACTCTTGACTATGTAATCATTTTTGCTTTTATAGACGCAACTGTTGTGACAATGAAAGAAAAAAAAAAGATTAGAATGTTTTTGGTCTCAGAAAATACTTGTTACCTACTAAAAATTTTAAGAAAATGCTTCTGAGTGGTTAATTTAATAAATACAGTAGATACAAGAATTTTACATAACACCCTGTAAATGTATATTTTTATAGCAGTACGTCAATTACTTACGATACTGCTGATAAATTTTTAGTCTAAACTATTCATGAAAATTTGATTGTAAACCAACCATCGTATTAAAAGATATTAATCTCACATTTGACACTTCGATGGGCGTATTAAAAATTGTGATCCGTTCACAACAGACTCATAGTTTCCGCCAACTATGGTAAAAAAGTTATTATTGTAATTGTTATATTTGTACTTGTATTTTTAGTTTAAAACAAAGCGTTTTGTTTTCCTATATTCATCTGTTTCGCTTTGTAAAGTTTGCATATTGCAAAACTCGTCTTTGGAATGCAGTTAAAAGACTGTTGAATATCTTTAGTCGTTCTAGTTACACCCCCTCAAGTGTTTGGCCAACCGCGATGTAGCAGTCAAGGTTACAATTTCTTAAACGATGATAACGTTCACCGTCGGTAGAGGCGCCTTAGTCCGGGTGGACATGTTCTTCGCGCATCATTCCAGCGTCGTAGGCGTGTTCCCGCCTCGTTGCTCCGCCTCTGGGCCAACAAACTCTAAGCAAATTTCTAAACCCCTAAGTTGTTGACGTCAGAGAACTCTGTCCGAGTAAGTTCGTGCGTTCGTTCGGTAGTCCTCGTCGGATTCTCATAGTGGCGTAAGAACACTTGCCGTGTTTAGTTCGAGAGTAAAGCGAAGTGTGTAGTGTGTGTTGATTCCGTGTAATTGTGTCAGTTTTGAGGTTAGTTCGTGACGATGGTGCGAACGCATCGGGCCATGGGGGCACTGAGGTGATCGCGCGGGGTGGATGAGATGAGCGGGGCTTTGCCCCCCGTGCCCGACCTCATCCCCATCGCGCTGCTGAAGAGCCCCCGGGCGCGCCGGGAGTGTGCCCCTTGCGAGGTTATGGGCGAGCAGCGCTCACGGCGGCCGGGGCGCCAAGCTTGCGAGCTGATCGATACGGCGCAGTCACGTGGCCCCAGCGCCGCCCCACAGCCGCCGCAGTCCCGGAAAGCGAGGTCCCGCCGTAAATCAGATAGACGCCGCGAGCACCGCCGAACCACCAGCACTCGGTCGCGCAGCAAGCACAGCCCCCACGCCTCGACGCCGCCATCGTCGCCGGAGAGGCCGCCGCGAGTCAACCCCATCTTCGTGTGGGTCCGACAGGAAGACACCCGCATCGTGGACGTGAAATGCGAGGACTACGACAAGCGAAACCGCATCCTCTTGACCAAGACGGCCCAGGGCTGGCGTGCCATCCCCCGCACCGAGACCCTCGCACCCGCTCTGAAGGAGGCTAGCCGCCACCACCATAGGCGCAAGTCGCGCAAGAAGGTCCGGAGGCGGTCCGCCGCCGTGCAGGTGGACGACTTCCAGGACGACGATCGACCGCTCTCGCCCACCTGGAGCTCCCCGGTCAACGTCGAGTCCCATCTGCCGTCCCACAAAATTCACGTCCCCAATAAGTGTCCGAGCCCCCCGACTGTAAACACTACAAATGACAGTGCGCACGCTCCGGAAAAGTGCAGTGATAAAATATGTGACGTCAGCCCCTTGGATAATCTTCTCGCCGTCGCCGAATTCGAGTTCAACCAACACATGCAATCCGGAGAATGGAACAAAGACAACAACCATGACATCGACGAACAAAAAGACTTCATTAACAACATTATTGAATCTTGTTCAAAAACACCCTCAAAACAGGACTTTGACGACCAACCCAAAACAGAAGAATGTGACTACACAGAAGACGACGACAATAATTTAGCGATGGACGACATCCTCACCAGATTAGAGCAATCCCTTCGAAGTCCAGAATGTCCCGAAATCGCTGAAGCTCTATCAAACTACGAGACCAAAATTGATAACATCAAACAAGCTGAGTGTTTCTCGAGTGATATCAATGAAAATAATTACAAATCTGTACCTGATGAATTAGAAAATTTCCTCGAAGAAACCAAATCTGAACAAAACCAACCACCATCCAAACCTCCAGAAGAACCGCAACCATCTGAAGATATTGTCGAATCTTCAACCCCAACTGAAGACGAACCAACAGACTTATCCCTGAAACCAAAATACGACAACAGTAATGAATGCAATAACGTCTCAGACGAGCAACCCACCGATTTGACAGTCCCAAAGAATTCATCACCGGTTCGATCGTCAACACCTCGACCACCCTCGCAGAATTCCGAAGCTATTCAGTCACCCCAACCAAGCGGAATCCCAGCAGTGCCACCCTCCCCTGACATTGTCTCTACCAGTGCCAATTGCAAGAGTAAATCAGTGTTCCTCGAATCTCTTCTAACAACGTCATCACAAAAAATCGCTCTCAATTCAGAAGTGACCATAATTAAACAAAAAGAACCACTCGATTTAGGAAAATGTCGAAAATCAGCAAGTCCAACTGTCACTTGTTCCGAAGAAGTTAAAAACAGAACAGACGAATCCGAACCTCCGAATAAAAAATTCAAATCTGATGATATCACCTTGAAGAATCTACTAGATATTGAACTGGCTAAAGCCGAAGAAAGTAAAACAACCGAAAAAACGAATGTTCCAGAAACCCCAAGATTACTCGAGTTGTTAAAGACTGATTCAGGGCCTGATCCTTTAACACAGTTAAGACAGATACTCTACGACACTAATTTAAATGTTCCTGATCCAATGTTGGTACCTAAGGAGAGATTGAGTCAGATTATTTCGAACCCAGGTCGCGAAATTCCGAGATTACTCAAGCAAAGACCGGAATTAAGATTACCGGAAGCTTTAGCCTTTCCGCATCTTCTACAAGATCCAGACATTTTGGTTATTACTTTACAACAATTGGAAACGATAATACTCAAGCAGAACCAATCGTTTAATCTGAAAGATTTAAAAAGTGCGAGTGAGAAAAATGCGGAAAAAGTCACAAGTAAAAAGCTTGAGAAAACCATGGAAGTCAAGGAAAGTCAGCCAAAGAAGAAGAGTTTGGATGAATCTGTAAACAAGTTGTTGAGTACGGTGCAAGAATCTCAGCCTAAGAGTGCTTTCAACGAACTTGCCAGCGATATCGACGCGGCCACGACTGCAGCTTTCAATCAAATGATTTGGTTGCCTTACCTGAATCAACTGGAAGCCATGTCGTTTGGAAACAACCCGGAAGTGATGAAGATGTTGTCGAATTCGCTTCCTATGTATCCGGGCCAAGTCCCGGATTTGAATCATCTAATTGGTGCGAATAGATTTCCACCTCCGGTGAATTTTCCGATGCAACAACCCCAGATGAACTACAACTCTCTGGAACTGTCTATGTGGCAAGAAGCCATGATGCAAGCCAACATGTTGCGACCTAAAATCCCTTTCGAGGGAATAAACCAGAAAAATTCGTTCAGGGATTACCTGGACAAGCTAAACTTCGCTGCATCAGCGAAACCCCACTTAAGCAACCCCAAGCCATCAAGCAAGACTCTCCCCAACAATTTCTACCCTCCAGGAAACAACACACCGTTCCAGAACTCGTTCTTGAACATCCCCAATTCATACCAATCAAGCAAACAGAATTTGCAGATACCACACTACCCCCTCTTCGGTCAGAAAAACCTGGTTAACCAACAGAAGCCGCCCTCACATTCGTATTTACACAAGCAAAAGTTCGAATCAAAATCGAGCAACTTTCCGAATTTCTATCATCAAAAAAGTGACGACAGGAAACAGGAACACAAACAGAAAGTTTCATGCAAGTCGTTTGCCACCATGTATCAGAAGGAAAAGTCTTCTGCTGACTTCTCCAAACATCACACACAGCCTATTGATCTTTCTGGTTCAACGGCACCGGCAAGTAAACTGAAGGTTAAACAGCATCTGATCGATCCAACGAACGCTTCCAAGTTGTTAAAGTATGACGACGTCCCCGAAGTTGGCAGCACGACGGCCAGTGTCGAAGAAATGCAAGACGCACACAAGCATCTCTGGCATCCGCTTTTCGGGAAGTAAGTATCTTCTATTAGCAATTTTTCCATTCATCGATGAAAATATCTTGCAATTATTCGTTTATTATTGTGTAGTCCTATGACTTCTTGACATTTGGAATGTTTACTTTGAAAATGCAGCGTAATCATATTAATAGCTTTCATGCTTATCTCGATTATCATATTGCATTATTAAAATTTATGTGGTAAATACATTACAAATTTGCATTTCTATTGTGATTTTATCGCGGAATGTAAAGCAAAAGTTGAAGTCTGTTGAAATGAAAGCTTTCGACGATTAAGTGAGATTGCATGTTCAAATTGGTTAAAACCTCTTCAATTTTACAAGTTTTTGAATTCTAAAMATACGGTAGCTTAAAAGTACGGAGTACATTAATTAGATGCAAGCATGTTTTTATTGAAGCTTTTTACAGTTACAAAAGTGCCAAGAATTGCAGTTTTAACTAAATTTATAATTTCATTATTTTACATTGCCTGACAAAGACAAACTTTATTACAAAATTAGATACTTTATTTTGTACTCAATGTTAAAGAGTGTTTTTATCAACTAATTTCAGTAGATAAAGTAGTCTTTTATCGTCTAGTGAAATAAAGTAATTTTTATCTACTGTTTATATTCAAGAAATTCTGGTAGGTGAGTACAAAATAAAACGAAATATTATACACGACGATAAAGATTGTTTATCTACTCGGGAAAAAAGTCCACTTGTGACTTCTTCACTCGTAAACTTAACCTTTTCACTCGTAGATAAACAATTTCTTTATCGATTTGCATAATAAATAACTAAATTTTAACGGAAATAAATAAGTGATGTTGACAACTCTTGGGCATAGGTAAATTCGTTTTAAAAAAATGTGCTATGGATTCATATAAATATCAATTTGTGTCTTTTTAAATGGAATACTGCATTTATTTTTTTCTATTTCGGAGTCACAATGGGTATTTTGTGACACTGTTAACTGTCAAATGTAATAATAAATTTAATTTAAAAAGCGCTCAATAGAAAAAATGGTATAAAAAACCCGTGTTACAACCTCTCTCTGATTTTCATGTCACAATGAGACTCTTTATAACACTTTTTTTTAATATACTATTGCAGTAGTAAAAACTAAGTAGATCATACTCGTATATCGATGGGTTTATTTAAAAACTTGAAACACAAACGTTGAAAATCAGGAAATAACAACTAACGATATAAGTCACTATATCCTATATCCACGTCATGATTTATTTTATACGTATTTTTTTCTTACAATAACGTTATTTGGTGATTGTTACACGATTTTTAATATGAAAATTTTGTTATTTTATGGAATTAGTGTTTCGAAATAGTTGACTTAATTATCGTCACAGCCTCACAAAACTGTACACAAAATCACACAAATTCCTTTGATAAGTGTGCTGATATTCTTATCACCACCACCGATATCAAGTCCATTGTGTTGTTTTTAAATTAGTCTAAAGTGTGTAGTGCAATATTTTTGTAAATTTTTGTTTTATTTTGGAAGCTGTTTACACAATATTTACGTTAATCAAAATTTTTGTGACGAGGACTTTTAACACGAATAGAAATAAGTTTTCATCACCAGGATTGGAGTAAAAGCGATTATTAAATAAACAAATGATTGGTTTCTTCGATTTCATGTACAATTTACATTTGACGTGCTAATGTAACAACCTTGAAACAATTCAGTGCATAAATACTGAAATAGCAGTTCAGTGTTGGTAAACACGATCATTCACCTTCAGGCGTTTCGGATTATTGCTATTCTAGGATAATTATTGTTATTATGGACAGCTGGAGCAAAAAAAACTTCCGTAAACATAACAAGAGTTTGGCACTAGTTGGCAAATGGATCGGCAATGGTGTACGATTATTTTTACAAGATTTTTTGTATTTCAAGACTTGAAAAGTGGAAAATACTATATAAAATGAATTTAGAAAAATTTAAGAAATGCCACGCTTGGCTAAGTTTGACTTAATTGGATATTTCCTAAGTGATTGTTAATTGCATAGTCTTCTAGCTTCTCAAATAGAATATTGATTAAAGTCATAAATTATGGAAACATTGTCGTAAAGAAAACGGATTTCTTGCTAAAAATGGCGGGTGCCTGAAGCGAAAGAAATTTATCAGTTCGAGTAAAAGGACAATTTAAAATTTTAAATTTAAACTGTTTCTTAACTGTGAATACCTATGATATTTTACAGAAAAACCTTTCTGTAAAGACTGTAAAAAATATTTCGATTATCGATTATTAAAGTTATATGCAAAATGCAAGAAGATCTTCGTCATGAATTTGGAACGTTATATAGCAAAACTGGCGCAAAACGATTTTATTTAGATAGTTGTAACTTCTAGATCATAATCTTTGACTAAAAAAATTGTCATAATGGGTTGCCATAAAAAAACTGTTTAGCACCTAAAAAAAAATATATATTCTTGTAAGAAAGGAACTCTTGGTTTCATACTTTTTGTTGACCCTGTATGTGTGATTTTCACAAGAAAAAATTTTTTTATTTAGAAATTTTGTGGTCAGGCCATAAGAAACAATTTTTATTTTATACATAGGTATTTAGTCGAAAAAAGACAAAACATGGATTTAAGCATTTCCATAAATGTGAGATTATAATTTATGGCACAGTTAATGTTAATATTTTTGAATGGCGGCATTTCGAGTCGATGTGTTAAGAGATAATGTGCATTTTGCAATTAAGTATCATTAAAATTACAAAGATATTGCAGATACCTTTAAAACAGACAATACAAAATTTATTACATCAAGTGTTTTACTATACACAAGAGGACAAAACTCGTAACGCTACTGGTTTCTTTAATTAAATTAATAGTTTATGAAATTAAGGAATGAAGTATTACCTACTATTCGTCTTTCATTATTATAAAATTTAACGCAATTCGTTTCCTAATGACATTTTTATGATCAGTCAATCAATTTAAAGCCACCACTCATTTTTAATAAGTTACTTAAATTAATTTAATCACAAATGAGACGAACGGATGAGTTGTGCCCTTGACTACATCCACTTAATAAATTTTAATTTTTCCGACATACAGTCCGGCACAAAATAAACAACAAGAGCATATGTTAAGCGAATAGAACACAGTTTTTTTCAACGGAAAATTATAATCTGCGGACGACAATCCTTAATCGTTGAAGTATAATACGATGGCTGCAATTCATTTCGACGCACAAAGTGGAGTGTTCAAAGGATGGGGCACGTTATTGTGCTTTTTTCCAACATTGTTCTGTGCCTTTGATGTGTTTTTTGTAAGCTATGTTGTCGAGTGCAAATAAGCTTACAACTAAAAGTCATGTCATGGGAAATAATTGAATCGATATATTCATTTTCAACACTATTGCATGTTCCGGCGAGGCATAAAGCAATTTGTATTAAAAGGGAAAATTATGATTTTTACCACGAAAAAAAGGTAAAAAACGATGGTGACTGTTTTTTAACAATCGCTTATACCACGTGTAACAGAAATAAATACATTAATTTTAATCACTTGTAGAACAATATTTATGTATCTATCATTTTTTGAATCATAATGATTACTGATATTTTCAATGGTTTGTTTAAATTTTTGTTTTTTTTTTACAAAATACTACATGCAGCATTATAACACAAGACAACAAAAAAAAGTCATGTCGTGACAACTTGACAAATTTTATATCATTTTGTTCGTCTCAGTGAGACAAAACAAATGCACTAATTTTTTTTTTTTAAAAGTCCACACACTTTGAACAAAATTATTTTTTTTCTAATTTAAATGAGATTAAAATACTTTAACTTTAAAAAATCATTACTCAATAACTATTAGGCCGATTTGCTTTAAATAAAGACCATTCTAAAGGGATGGCCTTGCCCTTTAGAATGATGTAAAATCTGAAATTGAATATTGACAAACTTTTCTTCGAACAGTGTTCGAAGAAGTTCGAAGTAAATCGAAATAATCTAAGAAAAACCCTACGAGTAAATTTTTTTCATCATTACCATCGTGTAGAGCATCTGTTTATTAATTGTAATCCAAATTTTCAAAAAAATATACCGAGTAGTTTTCAAGATATGATTTTTTGAAGTTATGGTTTGTTAATCAACCATTGCTCCATATAGGAGAAATGCATGTTAATCTTACTTAAAATTGCATTTTTATAAAAGTATTTGTTTTAAGACTCTTCTTTTGCTTAAAAATGTTCAATTGCACCTTCTTTTTCCTAATTAGAATTAAAAAAAACTATTTCTTTACTTAAAACAAAGAAAGAGTACCTGCGTACTAATTAAAGCAAATAAAGAGTTTTTTTGTTGTAAAAATGACCATTGATCATTGAGCAAAGAGGATCTAGAAGTTTAAGGCACGAGTCTTAAATATAAGGACAAATCTTTTTGAAATCAAATCACTTTCTATTCAGATTTTGACTTGTTCACTTTGTTCTATCTTTCTGAAGTTTTTTTGAAAATGTTCTAAGCAAATGCTTTCTCATCACTTTCGAGTGATGTTAAATGCAATAAGTCACCGATTTATTTTGTTGGTACATTCTACGATTAGCTTCAGTTAGCTTGTAGGTAGTAGTTGTTGTGATAACAGTTGCACACGAAGCAGCTGACTTATTGCATTCAACGTCAGTAGAAAGTGATGAAAAAGCATTTGCTGAGAACATTTTCAAAAAAAAAGATCAGAAAGCTAGAACAAAGTGAACAAGTTGGAATCTGAATGGAAAGTCATTTAATTTGAAAAAGATTTGTTCTTATATTTAAAGCTACTGCTTTAAACTTCTAGATCCTTTTTGCTCAATGATCAGTGATTATTTTTAGAACAAAAAAACTCTTTATTTGCTTTAATTAGTACGCAGGTACTCTTTGTTTGTCTTAAGTAAAGAAACAGTTTTTGTTTATTCTAATTAGAACAAAGAAGATGCAATTGACCATTTTTAAGCAAAAGAAGAGCCTTAAAACAAATACTTTTATAAAAATGCAATTTTAAGTAAGATTAACATGCATTTCTTCTATATGGCGCAATACCTGAATAGCAAACCTTAACTTCAAAAAATCATATCTTGAAAACTACTCGGTACATTATTTTAAAAATTTGGATTCTTACTAATAAAAAGATGCTCTACACGATGGTGATGAAGAAAAAAAAAATTACTCGTAGGGTTTTTCTTAGATTACTTCGATTTACTTCGAACTTCTTCGAACAGTTTGCCAATATTCAATTTCAAATTGCATATCATTCTAAAGGGCAAGTCCATCCCTTTAGAATGTTCTTTATTTGAAGGAAATCGGCCTAATAGTTATTGAGTAATGATTTTTTAAAGTTAAAGTATTTTAAATTGATTTAAATTAGAAAAAAAATATTTAGTTCAAAGTATGTGGACTTTTTGAATTTTTTTTTAGTGCATTTGATTTGTCTTACTGAGACGAACAAAATGATATAAAATTTGTCAAGTTGTCACGACATGACTTTTTTTTTGTCGCCTTGTGTAATTGTTTTGTGCATGCGTTTCCAGCGTTAAACGTTCAGAAATTATGAAAATGACTTGTATTGCATCAGTCAAGCTCCCTTTCTCTTGTTGAGTTAAAGTTATCGCTATCTGCTGTTATCATTTTAAAGTTGTTCTTGTGGGAGCGGCACGAACTTGTTATAAGATGTCGCATTTAATATAATGTGCGGTTAGCTTTGGCCATTACTTTAATGTGAGTTTCGGTAGTAATTTAGCTGTTGCAATTACAGCGTCGAAACTTTTAGTTTGAGCAAACGCTTTATTAACAATTTATTTTTCTTTGCAGTCAGAAGGGTTACCACAGCCCTTGGAATTGGACAACCGTGACCGCAACCGGAGAATAACATCGGCTTCAACCTCCACCAACATGGAGGTCATCTTCGTACCAAAGCGTCAATAACGATGCTGCCTTCACAGGGTTCGACTTTGACTATTTTTCCAAATAGGTTTGTTTCAATCTCTTTCTTATTTACTTTACCGTGATGTGAACCAACAAATTGCTAGACGTTTACTCAAAAAACAATAACAATCCATTCGCACCTAAATCAACGTACGTGCGATTAATAATTCATTTTCATCGATGATTAGAATTTGTAATTTTACTACTTTGCATTTACATACAATTTTCGAACGCTGCGACATTTCCATTTCAGATTTGACGGTAAAAGGGCGCTGCCTATTCGAAATTAAAGCGAAACTTTACTACTGTAATATTTTCAAAATGACATGGGACGCCCGCATCTGATTCCTCAATTGATTATGACCACTTTAAAATTAGTTGGTGTATAATTAGTTTTGAAACGCTTGGTACCCTCATGACTGATAAGAAAACTTGTTATTTTTAATTTGTCTCATTTTTTTCGCCTGGTTAGATAAAAACCTCAAATTTTATCTTCAAATTCTTGGTTGTTTGTTTAGTTACCTGAGCTGGTGTGTAAAGCCCTCAAATAAAATTAATTCAGTTGATGGTATGTGACAAATCCGGCTCCTTGGAGGTGAATAGTAAGCCGCCCACTGAATGTACATTTTCTATTAGCGTCAACTTCCTGCTGAAGACAACGGTGTTTCGAAAATAAACACCTAGTGAAGTGTTAATAACAAATTAGCATTTGAAATAGTTGCTTTTTTGTGCATAAAGGGAAGCAGGCTGTAAATTGAATGGTTGCAATGTTCGTTTAAATTTAGAACCTCCGCTTTCAGTCGAGGTGAACTCATGACCCTGCTAGCTTCCATCCGTTTCAAACTCTGCATGGCTGCGGTATTGATTTTACTCGGTCGATGTCTCCCTGACTGTTTCAGGAAAGTGCGTTTGCAGGGCTCGATAAATGTTTTAATGAACTCGTCTTTATTCACCTCGAAAATTCCGGATTGTTGTGGTTTCGCTGTTTGCTCCAATTCGGGGAATTCACCGTGTCAATGGAGCACTTGGGACTTCTTTCGCGAATTCAAAACGCCAATTTTACCACAATAAATGGTTTGGGGTTGAATTTCAGCAGATGCTTACGACCCAAAGATTTTACGAATTTCGCACCCAGAATCAATGATTTTAAAATATTTAGAAAGCATAAAGACACCATTATTTATCTTTTTTGATTGCATTTACCTCCGTGAAATATTCGTTGAGGAGAAAGTGGGAAGATGAATAAAACCATATGTTAATAAAGAGTGACACTTTAAGACAGTGTAAACCCCCATTAGAGAAAATGAAATATGATCTATTGTATTTTCTCATTGGACCTACCCAGTGTATAACAACCATACACAAAAAATAAATTATCGTTTCTGTCTCAAAAAAAGGTATTTTCGGTAACGTGTAAAAGCACTTAAAATAAACTAAGAAAATTAAGAATTTGACTTGTTGATGTGATTTTTGACAAATTATTACTTTATCACGAAATTCCGGAAAACAGCGCGACGTTGATCGAACAGCAAATTTCTTTATGCAAATCTGGTAACAAAGTCGTCCAAGCTTGATGAATTGATTAGAAGAACAGCGTACTTTATCAAGTTAGGCACACAAATCCTTCAAATTTTGCATCAAAAACAGTGATTTCTGGTAAAGGTAATTTAACTTAAATTTCAACGATACTATCGAAAAAATATAAATAATTGGCGAAAAGCAAATATGTTATTTATGTTTTCACCCATTTTAGAATTTCATTCTCTTTTGTTCTATATCAAATATTGCTAATTGCCATAATTATGGTAATTGCATAAATTGTGTATATTTTTTTTTAATATGGCAGAGTAATTGTCAATGTTAATTAATGAACAAAAAGAAACTACGACAGTTTTTTGAATGACTTAAAAATGCAAATTGATTGTAACATTAGATTAGATCTTGATTCTAAATTGGATATTATGCCAACTATAATTAATGTTATCGATTTGTTTGTAATAAAAATATTAAAAAAGCATTCTAGTGGTATTTTACAACCTAAATGAAGTGTTCAATTGTGTCAACAAACTGTACTTTCGTCGTATAATTAATGGGATTTGGTGGCGATGGGTGGTACTTAAAAAACGAGGACAAGTGTTTAGTTACTTCTTGCTTTGTAAATGATTTATCTTTTTTATCGATTCTGAAATAAATTTTATGAACTTATTACAATTATTAAAATCATATATTGTAAAATTGAACCACATAATAAGAAACTATTATTTTTTTCCCAGTGTTTAAGATTATTAAGTCAAGAGAATAGCAAAATTTACTTGACGAAAACTTCATATTAATCGTCACTACTGGTCGTAGTTTTTTCTCCATCTTTAAAGCCTCCAACCATATCGAAATATCCTGTACGTGAGTTTGCAAACCACGGTAAAAAAAAAATTACCGGACCACAAACTCCTCTCTCTTGCTACTTTTATATAGGATGTTCCGTTTTTATTATTACAAATTTAAATAGATAATTGAATATTCAATTTTAATACATAAGTTTCCTATAGACATGTTTCGAGAAATGCTCTGTGAGGGAGCTACACCTCCTAAAAGGGGGTGCGTTTTTAAAGGATTTTTTTAAATATTTCAGAATAAATAAAATTACAAGATTTGGTACAGTTGATAACCTTGATACACCTAAACGAATTCCAAGATGAAATGTCTAAATTTTTAATCAGGGGCCTCCTAAACTGTAAAACGAATTTAATTTTTATGCTGTTTATGGTCTATAACATAAATTTTAAAACTGATGATTTTAGTCAAAATCCGTAGGTAAGTATTTTTTTTATAAAAAACTATGAAATTTGAATTTTGTTGCTGAAAGTGGCAAGAAACCAGAGGCAAAATAGTTACAGTACTTTTTACCCTAAACCCACCCAGTTTAGGAAGCCCTTAATTAAAAATTTAACATTTTTTCTTTGTATTCGTTTAGGTGTATAAAGGTTATCTGTACCAGATTTTGTATTTTTTTTTAAATGGTTTCGGAAATATTGGAAAAAGCCTATTAAAAGACACTCCCCTTTAAGGGGGTGTAGCTTCCTTTCGTGGCATTTTTTGATACATGTTCATAGGAAACATTTGTCTTAAAATTCTATTGCCTGTTTAAATTTGTAACAATAACAACGGAACACTCTGTATATTGTACAACTGTAATATTAGACAACGATGATTTTTTAGTATTACCAACCGCATCTACAATTTACTCAACTTCTGAGAACATTTTAAGAAAATAACAGGATTTTTCCATGATTTTGATCCGCTTTGGTCTGATTGAATCAAAATTTAATAGGATTAAAGAAAATTAATCTTTATTTCAAATCATGACAACCACCCACAATCCTGATTTGCATGGAAGTTAAATTATAAAAGAGCAATTGATGGATTTTATTCTGGCGGAAAATTGGCAAACAAAATTGTATTTTTCTCGAACAGGTGAGGAAGTGCAATCTGTTTAACTTCCAGATTAATTAATAATCTTGAAAGGATGTGATTAACACGTGCAGTCTCTCTTACATGATTGTGGTAAATCCATCGATAAAAGCTCGAAACAATTCACAATTTGACACCTGACGTGTTACACCAGTCAATAACCCCATAAAAAACAACTCCAAGCCAGGTATTGTTCTCTTTGACGCAAYGAGAAAAACGATTGTTGGGWTTGAAAGTGATGGAATTTTTGTTTTTYGCGAAGTTAGAAAAAAAATCTCACTTCACACAACATTTGCTTACTGATACAGTTTGACAAAGAAACTGGGAAAGCTCTGAATGTGGGTCACAACGTGTACTATATCCTATTAGAGTATAAAAATGAGGAAAGACGCTTAGTGGAAATTGGCATAAGGAGCTTCGTCCTGAAAGCTCGCTATTCATCGCTTTTAAAAAATCTTAAATAGATTAAGTTAATGGCGATCGAAAGTCGGTTTCAAAGCCATAAAGTGCGCTAAACGGTACAAATATCWCTCAGACCATGCAAAAAGAAATCATTTGCTTCGAACAATTTCAATTAATTCAAACGTAACCTACATTTTAATTAATATCTTTGCACTTTCTGTTCGAATACATACAACTGTTTGGAGCTCGTGTACTGAGAGCGGGTCAAAACACTCCATGAACTCTATTTTCACTAATTCTGTATACGCGGCCTAGATTGTCGACATACAAGACGCTCTATTAATCCAAATTCGTACTCACATTGCAATCAATTCTGGAATTTTTAAAACGCTGATGGTCGTTAATGATTTTAACAGGCTGAAAGCGGTCCTAATTATGCTCAAATGGTAATGTAAATGTTTGAACATTAATTGTATAAACATTTATATACTGTTATGGCAAATGTAAACTAACCAAAATAATTGGCAGGAGTTTAGTCAACCGAAGTGGCATTAAATCGGAAAACTGCTGCAATCATTAAAACAAATTAATCTCAAGTTATTGCCTGAGTTTTCGCTCTGAGGACTAATAAGGTCACTCAAACGACACATTTTATTAACAAAATTTGGAAAACTCAAAAAACCTAATAAGTACCTAATTTGAGAAAAATACATAGGTCTCTATATTTTACCTGAAGCAATTTGTAAATKAATATTTATCAGCAATGTAATGCACCRTCATTATAGCCAACATTTGATGTATGGTGAAGAAAATTCTGTTTTCTGAGCGGTTTGGATAATCCATYAGTTTTACATTACACTTTTATCAATATTGATGTCATTTTATATCGATATTTTATCTCGAATGTGGTGCTGCAAGTCAAAAACTGGTGATAAAACTTCCATTTGCCATCTGCGCCGTTGTAACTTACTTATTCAACAGTAAAGTTCAAATTGTTATCACCCAATTTTACAGTTGGCCAATTAGCAACTGATAATGTTTTACATATGATTTACATTTCGGTAACAAGTAAAGCGTTACGTCTGCGTAATTAGGTTTTCGTCACGCAATAATATTCAAGTTAGACACGATGAATTTGAAGTGGAAAAAATGCGGCGGTATTCTTGTAAGGAAGACAGCTATGGGGACAAGAAATTAACACTTCTTGTCGGAATAATTTATGATAATTTTCTTTTAGTTGATTTCGGCGTGAATTAGTTGAGTAAATSAGATTAATTAGCGATTTGTTGGTAGCTTCTGTTGACATTAATGGGATTTGTCTCGAAATTGATGATATACTACATATATACAACATTCCACGCTTATTACAATTATTAAGAAATGTTCCTGAATGTAAAAATATTGTATCTTGTATTTATATTGTGTATATAAAAGTATATAAATGTCTGGACTAATGTTATGTTTGATGTAATGTTATGTAAATGTTGTTAATAAATTTAAGTGTATGTTTTATGTATTATTGAGTTTGATTTTGCGTTGCGAGTATCTGTTATGTTTGATTAGAATTACGTGCAATATTTTTTTGGTTTGTAATGTTACACATAGCATTTCACTGTAACTTTTCCATGTTCGTTTTCACAATTTTGATTGAGAGAATTAGATCTAGCAATATATTTATATAAAAATCACAAATTCATGTAAAAATTTAGTCTTCGACTTTTGTACATAAAATGATTTTCATAGTTACAAGAAAAATATATATATATTGTATGCTTTGCATATCCTGAAGCGACTTTGATCGAAACATTTTATAAAGTAAATGAAAATTAGTCTTAAGTAAAAAGTAGATAAAGAAATTGGTAGCCCTCTCCAAATTTTCATCTGACTTTTTTATATAATTGTTATAACTGAAACTTAAAGAAAAATGTTTAGCAGATTTCAAAGTTTAATAAAGAATTGGAAAAATATTGTTTCTAAAAAATAAACTGTGAAAGATAACTTGAATTAGTTGCCATTCGAGAAATATCTTATTTTTACTTTCTTAACATTGTAATAACTTAGGTCCTAAATAATTTCAGGAGAGTCTTTAGCGCAATGCTTTGTTGATATTTTTTCTGTACATATTTTATTTTATCAAGTTGCAGTATTACGTCTCATTTTATTTTATCAACGTTAAAAAACAACTATCTGTGAGACACATCTCTTGGATGTATACAAACATATCGTAAAAAATTATTTTGTATAATTGCTTTTACTTTAAAAAAGTATTAAAAGTGTAGACAATAAAAACCACGTTGTGAAATTTGTTTGTAGAAGAAAAATATGGTGTTTGAGCGCTTAATAGCGATACTATAGTTGTTGTAATTATTAAAATATGTACAATTAAGTATTATTTATTGATTTTTGTAATGAATTTTTCTTTCAAACCAAAGAACAATTATTATAGTTTTAGAATGTAGCTCATACATAAACTAGCGGATAATAAAATGATTTAAAACTTCCATACGAATTTCATTACAACCCGAACTGATTTCTGACCCATTATTCACTCTTTATCAACCGATTTCATCTTTATTTGCAATTTAAAAATGCATTAATATGCCCATAACCAGTTTTTCGGACCTAAGTGTCCTTTTGTAAACATTTATCTCTGTTATAGAGAATTGCCCCGAACACTTCATAACGACAAACTCAATAATGGATTAAAGCAATTACTGTAATGGCGGGCATTGAGAGCCAAATTCCCCCAAACTTTTAAAGCAGAATAAATCATAATGAATGTAAAAATGCCTACAGAATTTCACTTGTGACTTAATAATAACAATAGCTTATGGAACCTGTGTTGTGGCGTAAAAAAGTGAGTAGTGACCAAATAAAAAAAAATATATAAACAATTAAATATAATGGTAATAAAAAACTAAATAAACAAATTTATAAACTTCTTTAATAAAACAACAAAACTAATAAAATATTCAATAACAACAAATAAATGAGAACTTCGATTTAAATTACAAAATCAGTCTTTCTACCAGAGTGGGCAATTGACCAAACAAGGTGTCGAAGATGTTTGGAAAATGGTGGTCACTTTCAGCACTTGCTGTATTTTTTTTATTCGTTTTTCATTTCAATAAACCTATTTTATTATTATTTCTATTTTAACTTGACTATTAAAAAAAGTATACAGATCTTTTTGCTGAGTGGGGTAATTACTTCTTTTGCCTACCTCCCCCCCCTTTTGTACCCGCGCTTGAGAAAATATTTATTTCAAATCTAGGAGATAAATTGATTGAAGTATTTCAATTTGATTTTTCTAAAAAACAATGTCATTAAAGCACTCTTTTAGTAATAAATAATAATAATAAATTTTCTCAACGCACAGTTTTCTTTATTAGCTTCATTTCAAAACGTTTCAAAATTAATACATAAATAAGAAACCCTAATAATATTTAAAGTGGGTGTTGCACTAAAAATATTTTTCAGTGCATTTAGCATTGACTGGAATTTTTTGAAAGTATTTGGAAATATTAAAATTATGTTTGGATTTTTTGGAATTACTAGAATTATTTGTGAATTACTGGAATTTTCTATAATTACTGGAGGTCTTTTTGCAATTATCCGAAATAATTTCTTTTCAAAATTACGTTGAATTTCTTAAAGTTACGAAATTAATTTTGGAATTACGAAAATTAAGTTATAGAATTGCAGAAATTAATTTGGAATTAATAGAATTAATCTGAAAACAATGGAATTATATGATGGATTGTTAGAATTACTGTAATTTTGGTAAAATTTTTTGAAATTGGAACATTTTTTTCAAGTTAACGGCCCCTCGTTGTATTGATGTCCCTTTTGGGCTATTATTCATAACAATATTCATTGCTGCTTTAACTTCAGTATTTTGTCGAAAATTGTGTATTTATGA